CATAGAGGAAACTGTGATGAGGGATCTACTTAAGAAAATTACTCACCAACAGTTATCCAAGCTGAGGCAAAATGTAAATGTTAATGAGTTAGAACAGCACGAAAGCATACTCATTTTACATATTTTTAAAACATTCAGCACTCTTGGCATAGATTTTACCCGCCTCAGTTTAAAGCAAAAATTTAAATTCTCAACAATAAAATGAAGAGATACTGAAAAACAGGAAAACAGTCCATGAAAAACAGGAAACTGAACATTTTTGTTCACTTTATAGTTAATGTGAACAAAAATATTCACTTTTCTTTTATATGAAATCATAGACATAAAATATAATGCACCAAGCAAGAATAGCTGGAATTAAATGAAATTTATACAATGTAATGTAAGTTGATAAATATACGTGATTTTCTCATAGTACTGGAGCAAAAAGTTAAGTTTAATAAGAAAAACTATAAAACTGAAAGGCAGTAACAATACCCTGTTGAGCTGCTTCTGGCTTGAATACGAGATGAGATATAATTGAGCATGGAAGCTATGTTATGTTCAGGTTATGCATGTATTCTGCAGCATATTTATAAGCAGCTATTAGATTTTCACAAAAGCTTATAGCATATAAATAATCCTACATATGCTTAACTGGTTATAAATTTGGCAACCAGATACAGCAAGGAAAACTGTTAATCTGACAAAAACATTCCCAGAAAACTCTTACTATGTGTGTGTGTGGGGGGGGAAAGCTGAAAAATGCTTCTTAGAAGCTTTGTCATGAAAAGCAACGTTTGTAGTTACCAAATGCTCTGCACATATCAGTGACAGGGTTCATAGCCACATTTTAGTTAAAAAAATAAGCACCTATAAGCACTTTTCAAACACATTTTAAGAAAAAAAATAAGCAACTGTCTAATTGCATTATACACAACTGCATAACCTTAAAAATTAGATTTGTAATTTAAAATATGAGAAATGCAGTATTTATTAAGAGAGAATAAGCATTACCTCAACCATGGAAAATAATAATTTTTTTTTAAATTTTAATTAACAGTTCAATTTACAGAACTAGTTTACAATGAGAGAAAAAAAACTATGCAGAACTAAACTATATTACAAGATTTAAGGATGAAATTTCGGTTCAAAATATAGAAAAAATTAATAATAAGGCATATTTATTGTATTCGCTTGGAACCTAATAATAAATACAATTTATTTTTCCACTCATATTGATATTTAAATAATTTAAATCTAAATTCTGAACATTTTCTAAATTTTCATTGTATATCAGTTTTTCCTTAACAGATATTGCAAGCAAAGTAAATTAAGTAAAAAAGAGGAACATTTCTGAAATCAGAAGACAGAAATTTGCTTCATGCAGTCATCTTTTAACAGTAAAAGCTTAACTAACCCGCATACTTGGAAATTGGCCAATATTCGGACAGTCGAGCGTAATTTGAAAAAGAGGAGCGGGGGGTAGACTGTAGCCACTCTTTAAATTTTTCCACTAAATAAATGCTTTTGACATTTCGATATGTGCATCATATAAAAATAAACTAATAGAACTGAAAAATATTCTGCTTAGCAAGCACAATAAAACTCTTTTAAGTGTTCATAAACAAATCTCAGACACAACATCAAAATTAATTATCTCTGAAAAATATCGCAAACGTTATTGCGCAATACGTGCGCCGTAATTCTACCCTATGTTATATTACGCAATCGGAATCAACAGCTGCCGGTATTGGGAGAATAAAGAAGTAAATAACTGGGGTGTTTTTCATTCTAATTTTCAACAGACGGCGTTAAATTTCGCGAATAGAATCATTCTTCGCTTGGGTTGGTAGACCGCAGAACTTTTAGTCCTATTCAATCCAGATTGGAAAGTGACAAAAAAAAAAAAAAAAAAAAAAAAGTCCATCACTTGTTTTGCAGCGAACTGCAGTGGTTTCAATATTCGAGATTTTGCGGAGAAAGGGGAGAACCTCCCAATCTTCGTACTGTATAATGTATTGGCCAAAAAAATGAAATTATTTTGACTATTTGATTACTTTTTCTTTATTTAAGCCATTCCGAATATTATTCTTTAGAAAGCTAATCTGTGTTAAAAACAACCCATTTTTGGAAGTTTACTATACTTCAGCAGTTACTGCAACTATGTTATTATAAACATTCATACATATGCTCATAATATAAGCATAACGATCATAATAAACACGAATATGAACTGATCAAGTGGAACGAGAATGCAAATTATTAAGATCTTGATAGAAATTCAAGCGTGTGTAATATTTGGGTGGGAGGAAAAGAATGCCGAATGTAACGGAATTCTACTGCTTTCGCAATTCTTTGACCAATAGAAAGACGGGCACCTGTCTGTACTCTTTGTGCACACCAAAGGTTATGTTAATGCAGAGAAAGGGGAAAAAGCTATTTCTGGGAGTATGATTCACCATTTGACATTCCATATTAAGAAGAAAAGTTGTTTATTTAGTTTCGGCTTTGGTACCGGGAAAAATAGCGCGTTCATTAAAAAAAAGCACTAAAAGCAAAAAATAGGCACTAAAAACAAAAAATTAAGAGCTTTAAAGAAAAAGTAAACACCAATAAGGGCCTTTATATTTTATTTTCAAATATAAGGACTTATAAGCACTTATAAGGACTGCTACGAACCCTGAGTGAGTTCTTTGTATCTCTCATATTACCACTTGGGGTGACTAAATATCACATGTGATAGCTCCTCAGATCACTGCATTAGCAGTTGTGGCAGTGCATTGGTTCACAGCAGTACTAAAGTACTGACCGTGAAGCTTCTATACAATATCAATCTATCATTCTCTCTTAGAAAGATTTGTTGCAAAAAATAAGACAGTTCCATAGCCATTCAGATTCCTTATTTATGACACTACTGCAAAGTAGTGGCAATGACCGACTTTCAGCTACAGGGCATATAATTGATATAGTGATATTAAATGCCCTTCTAAGCACTTGGACATATTTCATTAGATAAAATTATATAATGTCACCTGTCTCTGGATGGTAGACGAGGAATTTGCTAAAGCTGCTTATACTTGTTGACAGATGAAAGGTTCTTTCAAATGATGGTTTGTTTGGCTCATTTGAAGCCTATCACATGCTATGTCATAAGCTAGAGCTCGCAACATCACCGACGTCAGAATAGCCTAGTTAACAGGTAATTCTACAAAAAGCTCATACTATTTCTCAGTAAAATGCTATGTGTCATTTCAGAGTTTGTTATCAGATCAAAATACATTTGACTTTGTCTATGTCTATGGCATGTCTAGCTTCAGTAAGGTATCAACAATCAAAATGAAATAATGTACAAGTAGCCTTAAAGAGTTCTTATAAGTGAATAAAGAAAGCATTATCTGAAACCAGTGGCAGTAGTGTAGCAAGAGCTTTTGTCACCCAAAGCACAGCCTAAATTTGCCACATGTCTTGATATACAAACAAATAAATAAAAAACATTTCAGAGCAATACACAGGGAAATAAATCCTAAATTTAATTTTTAAGAAAAACACTTAAAAATTATATTATTTAACTATCACTCTCCCCCCTTTTTTTGTTTTGTTCGTGAAATCATTAGTGACATTATAGAGGTTTTATTTCATTGCTCTTATGTAGAGAGTAGAGAAATATTTCTTAAATGCAAAATACACATTTGTAGTTCTTAAATGATTTTTCTTAGAAAATGCTTCTCACAAGTAGCAACACTTGAGCAACTAAAAGTATGATAGTAACAATATCTTTAAATTATTCTAGAGATTGTATTTTAGAATAAACTGCAAAATTCAAAATGAGTACTTTTCCACATTCTTATTTTATTTTTTAAGCAACAGTGGAACTAAAACTTTGAAATACTTCCTTCTTGGATAGAAACTCTTCTCCTTATTTATGTCACTGCAATCATAATTTAGTTGATATTTACAATTTTCATTCAAAAGTTTCGACTGAATAAAATAGGTATAACAACAGTATGCAGAGTTTGAAAACTAGAGGTGATTTCAGTTATTATTTTAGCTAAAGTAAAATCCCTATAAAATAATGTTTCATGTAAAAAAAATGGTGCCCCTGAAACCTGTGCCACCTGGGGTGGATTATTGCCCGCCACTGACTAGTTGTAAGACCTTGTGTCCAATTATACCATGACTGTAGCCATTTATATGCCTGAGTTGATATATGCTGTTTTGTAATAATCCAACATTTCTACATTATTCTTTTTGCTAATAAGTACACATTAGATTTTTAAACTTTTTTTAGTTTTATATTTTTACACATATACTAAGTGATTACACTCTGTAATTAATGAGATACATTAAAATTAATATGGAATGTAACAGAAATAACCATCAGCAAGCAAGCTATAAGCAAACTAGCTTAGCTAGACACAGGAAAATGTCAAGCTTTTCAGTTCCTGTCAACTGACTTAGCATGAATTTATCAACAAATGTTTGAAACGGTTTTCAAACATGACATTTTTCTAGTTTTTAGCCATGTTATTTGTGAATATACATATTATTATTTCTTGTTTTTCTAGTCATTACTGAATATCTAAACTGTAACAAACTAACATAAATTTTTAACAAAGGGGAAAATGATAAATGAACATACACAATTTTCAAAAGCTTGATAAGAATTCATAAATAATTCTATTTCATTAATTAGCATATATTTCCAGAACCTTTTTAGGATAGAGGTAATGTTATAAATTATATTGTCAAGCTGCAATGAAGTTTTTATTTCAACTGATTACATTCAGCACCTCATAATATAGTTTTCATTTTGCAAAAATAATTTAAATGATGGAAGCATATCAGTTAATTCTTTGCAGTTTATATAATTAAAACAAATATTTTCTTCCACAGAGGACCCCACTAGCAAGAAGAGTGAAAAATGTTAATATTTTATACAAATAATGATTAAACCTACCTTCAAGATGATATTGGAAAGAAGAAAAATTTAATACTGAAATTCCAAAAGAAAATATTACCATGAGGTCCAGCATTCTGATAGGAACTTTCCCTCAGTACTCCCCGATAGCTTCCATTTGCCGAGTGTATAGAGCTTTTTGGTCCATAAGCATTCGTAGCTACACTCTGGGCGGACTTCTGCTCTGTTGTGACCACTGCACTCGGCACGGCTGATACAACACCCTAAAAATGTCCAACATTACAGTACACATTTAACTAAATACCATCTTATTTTTTAATTTCATGCTTTATGATAAACATCTTACAGAAATATATACTTGTCATAAGAAGGAGGATTAAGGAGGGGAAAAAAGAATTCCACTTGAGTACTTACTTACATACCAGATATTGGAGAGAATATACATTTTCAAGCTGTTAATTTGGATTATTTAAGTATGATAAATCCTACAAAAGCAATATGCTGATGTTCCAACCAACTTTGATTGATAATACCTCGACGCAGTTCCAATCTCATTACGGATATATAAAACTTGAGATTTTCATAGCTTTTCAAAAAAAGTACAAAAGAAATGTATAACAATAAAACAAATAACTTCTTTAAGTAAATGGCTTGGTTCGGTTTATTTGATTATGGAAAAGCATTTGAGGACTATCTGTCTAAAGGAAAGGATGCCTTCATGGAGGACATTCTAAGAGAAATTTTCTTGTATCCATGTTAATCTCAAATCAACAATTATCTTTCAGTGGACTTTAACAAATATAACCCTTTCAACAAGAGTAAAGTTTGTCAATTAGTAGCACTGTTTGAACTGGATAATAATTTACATATGTGTTGAAATGCTAATACTAGCAAAATTTAAACCGAACTTTGATAACAAACTTCAACAATATTTCCATAAATCTCTTCTATTACTGGCAAAGATTTTGAAGGTGATCAGGCATAGATTCTTTCTTCAGAAGACCCCACAAAAAAAAAAAAAAAAAAAAAAAAAAAAAAAAAAGAAGTGTTCCTGAGGAAGAGGGACATACATTTGATCCAAAATGTATGCTAACTGTAGCAGCAATTTTTTTTTTTGGGGGGGGGGTGTGCCTAGTTTAAAAGTCTACATAGATACATTTTTTTCCCAATACAATTTGATATAGATGAGAAAAGTAAATGTTTCAAAAATAAACAAATAAGCAAAAATCTAAAAGGATTCAGATTTTAACATTGTGCCAGACGGTCAAGGTTTTATGACTTCACTGAGCTCAGTTTACCTATCTGCTTTTGAACCCACTCTGCTGATACAGCTTTTTTTTTTTTTTTTTTTTTTTTTTCCGTCTTTGTCTTTTTAACTCTTACTACTAAACATCACTTTCTTCACACTTAAGACATAATACAGATAACACATACATAAAATTTTTTAAATAGCATATCTTTAGAATTCCCATTACAGTGTTATGTACTGTCATGCACCCAGGGTTGCCACTGAAACAGGGGATTGAAATTCCTTGACTTTTCCAGGTTTTCCAGGTGTGTTTCAAGAAAAATCCAGGCTATCTGCATAGTGCACATTGGCTGTGCTGAGGGTAACGTAGTCTGAGGTATCTGGTACCAAGTACTCACCAACTGGTCCTGCAATTCCCGCACATTGCGAGAGGGTAGCGTGGCAGCATGAAATTGGTTTTCTGCATGGGACCACAAATGCTCTATTGGATTAATGCCAGGTGAATTTGGAGGCCAACACGTGACTTGAAAATCACTGGAATGTTCTTCAAATCACTTCCTGAGGATTCGACTGTTACGAAATGGTGCATTATCCTGTTGGTAAACACCATCCCCTGCCGGAATTACTGTTGTCATTAGGGGATAAACCTGGTCTGCAACGATGTTCATATAACACAGACATCAGGGATTGTTCTATGGGGATTATGGGTCTTAATGTGCTCCATGGAAACATTGCCCACACCTTGTCTCCATCCAACTGTGTATCCGGTAGCCAGGGTTTTGTTTGTAAATTGGCGAATTAGCACATGCCTGTTGATGTGATGGACTAGAAAACGTGATTCGTCGGACCATGCAACTTTCTTCCATTCTTCTAATGTCCAATTCTGGTGTTTCTTGGCCCATTGCAGACACAGGTAGCAATGACGTGCCATCAGTGCAGGGACATGCTTCAGACTCCAGCTGCGTAGGCCCATATGCAGCAATGTATGCTGCACAGTATGTAGAGAAACACTGTCTGGGTCACCACTGTTGTAGCTGGTAGTGATTTTGGCTATTGTAACTCTTCGATCACGGCAAACAATGCTTAGAAATCTCAGCTGCTCTCTGGAAACAATGTGCCATCGACAATACAGCACTAACCGGCGATTTGTCATTTCACCTAACATCTCTCTCAATATGTGCTCACAACAACTACTCAACATGCAGATATACACTTGTGTGAAAAATACTAAATGGTTAGCCTAGATGACTGATTATTTTCATTATTTTACTGAAAAATGACATATAGGGCATTTAAGAAAGAAGAAAAGGTTTATACAATTTTGTTTTATACAAGAATAGGGAAATTTACTTTCATTTAACATGCACTGCATATGCGCATGCGATTTTCTGGATTCTCAAAAGTTGTTGGAAACCAAAGATACTGGAAACTTACTTTGCCTTTTTAAAAGACAATCTGACTGGCTCTGTGAAAATGGCTCTAAGCCGAGCAGTCTGAATACTGCTCATGCGATACATGATTCATCAAGAAAGTGATCACTTCCAAAAGCACGAAAATCGCTTTTTTAAGAATCGTTTTATGAAATTCCCTGACTTTTTTGGTCGATTTTCAAATTCTCTGATTTTTCCTGTTTTTTCAGGTTTTCCAGGTAGCGTGGCAACCCAGCATACTTTTATTTCTGTCCATTTCACTTCTCAAATAATTAGATGTTGGTATGGTCAGCCACATAAAATAATTACTATAAAAATTATATAATGCTCTTAATATATTCAACTAATAATTAATAACAGAGATAGTTTAGTTTGTTAATCAACAGACATTAAATTTAAAAGAAAAATTAATTATCTTATGCTTCATCAAATGTCAACAAATGATGCATAAAAGATAAAAATAATTTATATCAAGCAGTGGCAAAACATTTCTTTTAAACCATTTTTGATTATTTTTGAAATACAAATATCTTACATTCTGCTCAGCAGTAACGTATCTGGAAAGTAATACGGATAAAAAAATGACTGTGACTAGCAGCACCTCTGGTGCTAAAAAAAAAAAGATCATCATATATTTTTTCTTTGATAATGTATAACTCATTTAAAATATTAAAAATTTTTGTAAGATCTATCTTTCACTCTTATTCCACTTTCTATAGCCACGTGATTTTAATTTTTAAATACAGTTAGGGGGAACATCAATTTTTTTTATTCTTTGATATTCTATTGGTACTATTACACTATTCACCAAAATGTCCTGCAAAGGCTTCAATTGCTGGTGACTAATTTTTCACAAGCATAACATGTGAAAAACATTAGTTGTTTTAAAAACAGTGGTGCATTCAAAATTATATAAAACAATAATTATTTACTGCTTTACATAATTTATTAATTGCCCTATTATTAGCTTATTAATCAATTTCTTTTTAAAGAGCTCTCTTGTCTGTAAATTTCCTTTTGCTTTACTTTTTCTTTTGTCAGATGAGATTGGACATGAAGGTTTTTAAAATTTTATTATTATTTAAAAAATGCTTATTACATGAGCTATATTTTACGTTTTAATCAAGCATTTACAAAAATCAATAAACCTACATTCAATCAATAAACCTATTTATAATACAGACTTTACTTCTTTGGCTCTTGTCAAAATTCTTTGGTAATGACTTAAGCCACTGCGGCACTGTTGGCCATTAAAATTGTAGCACCAGGAAGGAATGATCTGACGAACGTCAAAATCACATGAAAGGAAGAAGTTGTTGGGATATGCAAATGATTAGTATTTCAGTGCATTTAGACGATGCAGGAGGGAGAAGCGATATCTGAAGCACTACATAAAAGAAAAGTTGTATAGTGAATTTCTTATTCGGAAAGTGCTTTGTAAGGTTGGAGTTTGTCTAGAATATCGTGTTATGCCTTGACTAAGAAGAGGATATGCTTACCAGCAAGTTTCAAAATTCGAAGTAGTTAAGCTTTATTGCCTATCGCCAGTTGCACTGATCGACATTCAACCACAGAGTCATGCGAATATGGAATTAATGGATTGCTGAGGGTCATACTGAACGGCATGCAGGATCTCAACACTCTCTCATGACTAACGCCAGAGAGGACATATATATTGAGATCAGCACTGCAAATCCGTATGACCACATCACGGACCATTAGTCGGGAAATGGGCATGTTTGCAGTACGGACAGCATCAGCTCGTAAGGTGCATCGACATTTGCAGCAGCAGCAGCATGGACTACCAGCATGGTGACCATTACTTTAGCTTCACTTGGCAATGCAGCATAGAGAGGGACGGCAAATCTGGTGTGCCAAACGACAAAGCTGGGCACAGGAGTGGCACAATGTCACTTTTTCAAACGAGTCCCAGTTCTACATGCAGTATTCTGATAGCCGTATACGTCTCTGGAGTGTCCGAAGAGACCGCACATCACCAGCTTGCATTTAATATCGGCATAGGGACCCTGCACCTGGTGTGATGGTTTGGGCAGCCAATGGGTATGTGGCACGCAAATCTCTAGTTCGGATTGATGGTAATTTGAACACAGATGGACACATTTCTGACATCTTGCATCCAGTGGTTGTGCTCTATCTTTGAGGCTCCAAAATGCCATTTGCCCACAAGATATTGCAACAACGCATGTTGTGTTCTGATCTTCCTCAATACATATTCGACCGCTGCCCTGACCTGCACAATCTCCAGATTTGTCACCCACTGAAAGCATCTGGTCATGGGTTGTTGAGACTGGCCCTACCCTCTCCAGCTAATACGGTTGAAGAAGTGTGGCATAAATTTGAAGCATCATGGAATGAGTTGACCATTTCTGTCATCCAAGCTAATGAGTTTGATGTCAATGAGTTTGACTCCCTGCCTAATGGGGTAAGGGTCATTTTAGCTGCCAGGAGTGGCAGATGTTTCTAATTTCACACCCCTGTAAATCTCCAAAATTGTTACAAATTTAATCGTTTTGTCTTCGTGCCATACTGTTTATGCACAATTAATATCTTTTTTGTGTTTGCTTTCCTTCATGGTGCTGCAATTTTTAATGGCCAGCACTGTTGATTCAAAGCAACTGTTTTCTTTACGAAATATGGCCCCAAAATAATATATTACTGCAGAAATTTTACTTCAGTTTCTTCATTGTTGGCAAATACAATAAATGCATATTTTAAAATTGAGTTAAAGACCAAAAATACTACAAACTGTTGGAACGTAGAATACAACAAAAAGGAACATACATAGAAATGGCGATGTTGATTGAAGAACTGTTAAGTGCATGGTTGTCACAGTTTGTTGCATTCTGAAAATCTGACAACTTCTACTAAGGTGGTTGCACAAATACTAAGGACCAAATGTACTTTAAAGAAAAGATAATAAAAGTCATTAAATAATATTACTTTAGATTGGGCTCCTTTAACAGTTCCATAATGATACCGCTGACTAAGCTGACCATCTTCTGTGTATATCCCTCTCCTATCAATGAGGCTAGAAAAGTAAACATATTTAGAAAACATTTAAGAATTTTTTTTCACATAACAGAAATCTGCATTAAAATTATACAAATATTAAAACAATTCATATATCTTTTTTGGGGAGGGAAGAATAACTGTTTTGCATGTTAATTCCCTTTTTCAGAATAACTATCCATAAGTGTAAAATATAATAAACAAAAAATAAATTTCAATTTATACAAGATCAACTATTAATTTAAAAAAAACCTGTCCTGATGAGGGCATGAATGACAATTTCCATTATTAATGATGCATATCCTAACTGCCCTTTTTATGTTTAATTATGATATTTCTATGCTACCTGCAGGTTTGGGAGAGAGATTCTAAATGTTGAAACACTGAAAAAATTTGTCCTAGCAGGCACAATTTTCATGAACAACCATCACTTTTTTAAAATACTGGTTATTTTCTAAAATTTTATTAATACGTAAACAACTGTAGTGAGATGCTGGTGAATGAACTAAAACTGCATGCATTAAAGAACACTCAGCCTTAAAGAAAACTTTTTCTTTTATTTTTTATAAAATTTGTCTTAGCAGGCACTAATTTTCATTAACAACCATCACTTTTTTCTAAATACTAGTTTTTTTTTCAAAATTGTATTAATAAGTTAGCAATTGCAGTGAGATGCTGGTGCATGAGCTATAAAACTGCATGAAATAAAAAACACTCAGCCTTAAAAAAAAACTTTTTCTTTTATTTATTTTCACATAGCTAAATTTTCCTCCGTATTCGTTCTTTTGCTTTAAAAAAGTTAGAAAAAACTAATACATTCAAAATATCGGTTGTGGAAAAAGTTCTTGTTTTAGAACTTGACAAAATATATTTTCATAAGAATGTTCTGGATGTTTCTGATGTAGGTATGTATGACCTACACAAAAGTGTAAGGTTAAGCACATCCTTCAACTACCAGCATTCTTGTACCACAATGTATGTCATTTGTTTGCAGCTGTCAGCTTTACAGCTTCAAATCCGAGCTTGATACTGCAAAGTTGAGCTGATGTATCAACAGTTCTTGTTAATAAACAGACTGTACTCAGAAAGGTTCCAATAGAAGAATGCATCCATATACACTAGAAAATTTCCAGGATGGATGCACTGAACTTAGGCTAACCAGCAGCCATGCATTAAAATCACTAAACGCTGATAATTCAATCTTCATTCAAATTTTGGGTCAAACTATAAGAACTCCCATGCAGCCAGTTTCTTTGCTGGGAGCAAATGAGCTGGCTTCATTGGAGTTTCCTATGTGTAATAATAAATGTATAAGCATCACTTTGAAACAAGTTCTTAATAAAGGCATAACTTTCCTTATGAGACAGCTTTGGTGAAATCTAGTCCAACTGAATTAAACCTATAGAGCAGCCTCATAACAAGATTTTATTTGTCTGTATATTGCAGATGACACATGAGTAAGAATATATGTTTACAAAATTATTAGAGGTACATAGTACCGCTATTGATAATCTCCATGTCCTCCACGCTGGAGGTGCTAAATAAGGAGAAATTATCCAATAAAAGAAAATCAGCATTTAAAAGTTATATTTATCTCATTTCTACAGTGATAATTAGTAGAATTACATAATAAAAAATAATGAAGACTGTGTCTTTAACTTAATAAAAGTACGTAAATTTAAAAAAGGGGGGAGAGGGTAAGCTCGTATATGAATCTACATACGTAAGTTTGTTAGATTCACACGGTATAACTGCTTTTGTCATTCTCCAGGACCATCACTAAAACATACTTTTAACTATTACAGACATCTAATTAATAAACTCATTGATACACACAACTTCTTTTCAATTCATTCAAGACAACTATAGAGTTCACCTGGTCCTAATGAAGTTCAAAATTTACTATAGCCGGCTGGGAACTTTCGTTTTATGTCTTTTGCTTAAAATTGTATACCTACAGATCATATAAACAATAAAAGGATGAAATGGCATAATTGTTTGCTCCTAAACCAGTTCAGTTCTACATAATCAGGACTTTTCCTGAATACCAGCAGATTTTCATCAATATGAATTTTGGTTTTGTGGAACATTGACATTATTCATGGTATATTACAGAACATACAAAACTTTCTCTGCACTAAATATTTTACACAGAGCGGTGAAGTTACTTCATCATCTTTGTGGTAACATCAAGAGACATGATCTTACAATATCATAAACCTTTTTTAGAAGATTTTCTGATTTCTTAACTAATATTATATGGATGTATAGTAAAGTTTTCTGTATGCATATAATCTGCAGTGATTTCATACATGTAACTTAATACTTTGCTCCCTCTCCCAGGTAATAATTTTTTAAAATCCACTGACTAACAAAACAATCTAAATCTTTTAAAAAGAATGGTGAAGTTGCTTTATTATCTTTGTGATAACATCAAGAGACATGATCTTACAATATCATATCATAAACTTTTTTTTGAAAAGTTTTTCTGCTTTTTTAACTAGAATTATATGGATGTATAGTAAGGTTTTCTCTATGCATATAATCTGTAGTGATTTCATACAACTTACATGTAACTTACTACTTTCCTCCCCCCCCAAAAATAATTTTTAAAAAGCCACTGACTAACAAAACCATTTAAAATAACTTTTCTAAAACCAAACATTTTCCATTAATTTTTATCAGGATGTAAAAAATAAATATTCAAATAAGAATTCTTTCCAGAAGGATGACATATATCAAATATAATATATAATAATAAACATGCATGATTAAAATTACATAACATTAATAACCTTGGATAATTGGGCCCACAGATAACTGCACAGCAGTTCACAGTTAAAGATCCAGTGCTGTAAGGGTTGAGAACACCTTGACCTCGTTTTGCAGAAAAAGAGCCTTTAATCTAAAAAATTTTAAATTGCATTGTCTGTATTTAAAAAATTAAATACAATTGTTTATTAAGTGTAACTGAATATGTACTTTTCTAATAATCAAGTGGTTTTAATAGTAAAACGTTCAATAAAATAATTTCAAGATAAACTAAGCAAAATGATCTCACACAAGTAAAACACTGAAACATCACACTTTGAAATCTTTTCTTGGATAACTTCTTCACCATAATATATAAGCATAAAGTGACAGCAGCAGAGGTATCTTTGCGCAGACAAAGGTTTTTACAAAATCTTTCAACTCATTACTAAATTTAAAGTTTAAATTTCTGATGAAATTTGTAAAACTCACCAAGTTAGGATATTGAATATATATTAACTTCAAATAGTCTAAAACAATAACATTTTTATGTAATGTGATTTCATCCATGAGTGCCACTTGCATACATATTAAAACTGTCAAAATAAAATTAAAAACAATGACAAGAAATTAAAATATTAATTTTATTTATTTGCAATTTATCTTGCAATATACTATTACAGTACAGAAAATTAAAATTTAATGTTGTTCCCAGAGTTGAAAATTACAATTAGAAAATCACTCTTTATGCTTTAATTTGTTAAAAATAAATTCTATATTCTTAAACATTAAATAAAATAAAATAAAACAAAAAGAGTGCATAAATAAGCTTTTTTTAAAAATTAAAACTATAGCATCCAGTCGTAAATTTATGATACACAATTGTTCTACCAAAAACAAAAACTAGTTTTTGACAGAACATGTATATTTTATTACAAATCATTTATTAAATTATTCAGCTTATTAGAGATGTATATTCTATTTCAGAACTTTCTCTAAAAGAAATAAAATAAACAGCTTCTATTTTATAGCTACTCCTGCATTAGTTTTCAAGAGTCATAAATTTAAGTCTAATAATTAAAAAAAGATGTCAATTATTCATTTTCGAACATTTGAATATTTTTGCACATTAAGTTTAGAATATATTGCTTTTAAACTACCTAAAAGATGATGAGTTTATTATTTAACTAGCGGGCAAGCCCGCTTATCATTGTTCGTGTGTATAAAAATTGCCATTGTAATTTCGCCGGTATGCGAAAGCGAACTAAGTACAGCGGTGCGGGCTGCGCCCGCTTTATACACATAAGCATGGAGAGGATACTGCATAAACGATACACATGAGTTAAAGCAAGAAAACACCCGGGGAGCCAGCTCGTTCGCCGACCGAAAGTTGGATCGAACTACCAGCGTTAAGAGGTTTTGAGCAGGCTGCGCCCACTTTTATCACATATGCATCCAGAAATCACTTTATACACTATACACATGCGGAAAATCACGAAAACACCCATGCAGCCAGCCCGCTCGCCGAGATTCGAAAGTTTGAGCGAACTACCAGTGTTCAGCGGTTTTACCCGGTATCCGCGCGCTGTATTCACGTATGCATCCAAATTTTATATACAGTACCCCGGAATTCGAAAGTAGGACCGAAATACCAGTGTTCAGCGATTTTGTGGAGCGGGCTGCGCCCGCTTTATACACATAAGCATGGAGAGGATACTGCATAAACGATACACATGAGTTAAAGCAAGAAAACACCCGGGGAGCCAGCTCGTTCGCCGACACCGAAAGTTGGATCGAACTACCAGCGTTAAGAGGTTTTGAGCAGCAGGCTGCGCCCACTTTTATCACATATGCATCCAGAAATCACTTTATACACTATACACATGCGGAAAATCAGGAAAACACCCATGCAGCCAGCCCGCTCGCAGAGATTCGAATGTTTGACCGAACTACCAGTGTTCAGCGGTTTTACCCGGTATCCGCGCGCTGTATTCACGTATGCATCCAAATTTTATGTACAGTAGAGTTTATTATTTAATGGAAGTTTTACTCAACACGAAGTATAAAAAAGACAGTGATTTACTTTTAAAATCTTTCCATTTGAATTTCATAAACGAATGAGACAAATTCTATGACATATATAAATTTGTGTCTTTTTCGAATTTATATTATAAGAACAAGTCTAGACTATTTGCATGGGTAAGACATCTGTTAGTTTGACCTAAATTTAACAGAATGGCTGCATGGAGATTTCATGGTTTTCTCCACGTATAATGAAAATGCATGTCAGTTTCCCTTGGAGGCACTTTTGGTAGAGGTATCTCTGCCTTAAGACAAACAGTTATCTCTGCTTTGCCTTAATCCATCAAGAAACATGTCAAGGATCAATATTAAAAAAATTAATCTTTTTTTATTACAATCTTTTTTAAGCATACCGTATTATAAGTTCCTTTATAAGATCTTAATTTTACATACCATAATATTAAAAAAGACAATTTGATAATTTTAGAATAAAAAAATGCAATCAGTTTTATATTCTACTCATCAGATAATACATGACTAGTATTTTGTACATATTTTATTTAAAATCGTGTGAAGAAATTATACTTACATCTTCATTAGTTGTTTGGTTAGATGTCGTGAGGTACGTATGAAATCCAGCAAGACCCAAAACTGACCACACAGAAAAAAAGCACACTACTCCTTCTACAACAGTACATAACAGTTAAGGGAAAATGTGTGCATTTTCATAAGCTACAATATAAAGATACATTCTGTTTGACTCCTAACTTTTCCTCTGATTAAATTTGTTTAAAGTAAAATTAATTTATTTTGAAATAATAATTCATTAACAATTAAAAATAAATTATTATTAAATATACAGGGAAAAATTCATAACCTCTCATTTTTTTAATTTCGTAAAAAGAGGAGCTTATAATGAACTTATTTGGAACTGACAATTAATTCACATGAAAGTCATTTTTCTTTTTTCATATCAGTAAGAATTATGAGCGTTTACATCTGTACTTTCTTAATGCACTATCTTCAGCAAGAATAAGCCTATTTATTTGTATAATTTGTGATAATACATATTTCTTCCAGCTTTTTAGAGATGTACAATCAGCATGCACCCCCTTCCCCAAAAAAGGTAGACAGAGTTCTATATCTCCTGTTCTACTGCTCCAATTGACTAAATTTCACTTGCATTTTTCATGGCTAGAAATTATGACTTAACAATATATATTAGATTTATATACAGCATTGCTCTAACATAGGTATTCTGACATAAAATCGGAATTTGGTATATATTTATTAATACCTCTTTTTTAAAAAAATTAAATTCTTTCACAATTCAAAATTTAGGTTCAATCCACATAAAACTCATATTAGTTTTTGATTTTTTAAAATTTGCATTTTTTAACAATTTTTGTTAATTTTTTGAAAGAATTCTTTAATTATAACCTACAAAATTTTTATCATCACCTTGAAGAATAAGAATATGTATTTCTAGGCATACCTGGGAAACATTAGAGTTTTTTTATTCATATACATGAATTTATATATTTGTGCATTTTGAAATTAGACATATTTGTTATAAACAATAATAATGGCAAATGTAGTTTACATATTTTGTACAATTTTCAAAGAACTGCAACAGTTATTTTGAACCTTAAATTTCCAAACCAACTTTAACTGAGGGTTTTTTACAAGGACTTTCTTTATTCTCATTTGTAATTATAATGACTAATAAGTATTTACTAATATATGAAAAGCTATTTTTAAAAATTTATACAAAATATTAATCAAAAGTTTATTTTTCCTTTTAAAGCATAAATTTTTACCTTCGCCATATTATCATCTTCTATTTTACTCATTTTCATTTTATATGCAATGGAATTTATTTTACAGATTTCAAAATTGTTTATTATATATGTATAAAATACTTCTGAGTACGTCAAACAATGCATAAAAATACTGTAAATAAAACACGTTGTCTCCTACAGAAATGTTCAACAGCATCAAAATTTACTAGAATAAAAGTTTTTATCTTCTTTTCTATGTGCAGCAAAGGAAACAAAAATGATTCTGAAGATGTTTTATGTCCAAAGATATTTCATGACATCAAATATGTCACATATGTCTTAAACAAATGGTTGTTTACTTTTGAATGGGCACCTAATATTATCATCAAGAATATTTTTTTTTTTTTTTTTTTTCAAAGCAAAATATATTTTTATGTAAATACAGGATTTAGAATAAGCACATTTTTAAAAGTTAAACTGTGATTTATCAAGGTCTGAATTCTAATAATTAGTATTACAAAAAATAATGATTTTTGTTACATTTATTTTAACATTATTATTATTTTTGACACATTTTCTGTTATATTAGAATTCATTCAAAATTTTCTTCTACAGTAATTTCATAAATTAAAAAAGTTATCTTTCTTTGTGGACATATTGCTAATTTTATATCAATCAAAGTTTTAACACCTGCAATTTACTCTTTTCGTCCACGCTACCAAAAAGTGTGTATAAAAAAAGTTTACCTAATGAATGACAGTCTAAGTTCAGAAAAAGAGTACTGACAATTCAACCACTGGCATTGTATCTATCATATGCCTTATGATTGGATAACTATACTGGTTTTCTTAGTTTAGAAATGTGCATTTAAAAATCGTTCATAAATTAGGTTGGTCAGTTATTTAAATACGGCAGAACACTTGGAGGCTATCAGGCTAAGGGGAGTAATTCCTTCAGGAAAGCCTTATAAAAGTGGCTCATATTTACATTGCACATGGGAAAAATTAAAAAAGTCAACCATGAGACCATCTCATTCGGCTGGATTGAACTCTGGGACACACTGTGTTTTTTAACTACCAAGCCTTAGTGCAAATGAACCTTTAGTTACATATTACGGTATTCACTTGATGTTCTTGGAATTTAACCTTAAAATGCGACTATTGTCTCCTTGCGTTATTCACTTAGATTAAACAGGTGTTTAAATTAAGTGACATAAGGTTTATCTTACAAGCTGAGGTGTAAAAAGAATGATGCAATTTTGAATTTTTGGCTTAGTAGCTGACTTAAATAGCTGAGAATTAAGCACACAATATTTAACCTTAATATTCAGTCAGAAACCTTTTTATTGTGCAATAATGAATCTTCCCACCGATATGATTAATCACTTCTCAAAGCCTTTCTGTCCTCAGAACAAATATGTCTATTTAGTCACCCAAAGTGTTCTTCAGATTTAGCTCCTTGCAATTGTTTCCTTTCCCAGCCCCCTAGCGGTAAAGTCGCTGAACACTGGTAGTTCAGTCGGAGGTTCGGATCCTGGGAACGGGCTGGCTGCATGGGCATTTTCATGTTTTCCCCATGTCTAACGTGTATATGAGCCAGTCTCCCTTAGAATCACATAAACCTTTCCCAAAATCTAGAGTCATCTCTCAAAACTGGGGAGGGGGGGATTTGCCATGGAAAACACAAAAAGAATACAACATCCAATCTTACAGGCATGCCAGAGATAGCCCTCTACAAGCCTTCTCTTTCATTACCTGTCCTATTTACATTAAGGCAGAAAGCTGCATCGGTATAACCTACTTTTTAATACAGTTAGATTATTTAATTCTACTACAGTTCATTTTATACGCAAATCTACATAAAATAGCAATAAAACTTCAGTTAAGCGGAGCTCCTGATCAATTGCTTGTTTCAGGGTTGCCACTCAAACAGGAGAATGAAATTCCCTGACTTTTCCAGGTTTTCCAGGTGTGTTTCAAGAAAATTCCAGTCTATTCGCGTAATGTACGTTGGCTGTGCTAAGAGGTAAATTAATTATGGTATTACTTGTATTGTGTAGCAAATTCACTTAATTATTCAATAAATCCCAGAGGACATTTATTCTTAATTATTCTTGGTATACTTTGTTTGATAATTTTGTTAGTTTTCCCACTTAATAAAATTTAAGATATATACATTGGATAACAAATGTATGTTTTATTTAATTATTACTCATGATCATCAGCAGTTCAACACGAGGCTAATCCAGTCCTTATAAATCACAACGCAATGCTAAACAGTTAGGTTAGATTTTAGGTAAATTTAATTTGCGTGAGGTATGTTCTTAAAAGGCACCTTAACACTTGAAAACACAAATATAATTATAATAGTTGTTGTTTTCTCCACTGAAGATTGAGATTAGAATCTTCCCAATCTGGAACAAAATAAGGCTTTTTTTTTTTTTTTTTTTTTTTTCAGACATTCTGCAGCTAAACGGAAGAAAGAAATCTATTTTAATAAATTGAGGTATTTTATATTTATTTCGCAGCATACATAATGAAAAAATATGTGCATTAAATTTCGTGATGTTATGTCATCATACTGCTATAATTAATTTCTGGATTATGCCAGAGAAAATTTCCTGAAATTTGGAAATATTATTTACTAATAATAAATAAATTTAGAGGGAAGAAGCAACATTAAATTATATGAATAACATAAAAATAATTACTTAAAAATTGAATTAGAATAATCAACGATATTTTAGCGAATATAAGTTATATACATGGCTTTAGCCTAGATGACTGATTACTATTTTTTTATTTTACTGCAAAATGACAAAGGCATTTATTAAAAAGAAAAAAAAAGTTTTAAAACATTTTGGCGGTAAAATTCTAGTATATGGTTAAGGGCCTTGGGCACGATTTTGAAAAATTGTAGCCAACACCAAAATGACCCGTTTTACTGCTCATCATGATGTCGCCAAATCCTATGTCTACCGTAACTGGAGGTTATTCTAACCAAAGAACGTCTATGTAAAGATGGAAAAGGTTTCCATACAAGTAAAATGCTATTAAGCCACTAGAATGCGGAGGAAAAATTTGCCAAAGGATTTGGCGACGGAACCTGGCGGCCAGAATTTCTCTCCTCTGCGCAATTGTGTACAGGAAATTGAGGAAACACGTTGTTAAGAAGAAACGCTCTTTGACAAAAAGAAAACTACGAAAATCCGTTTTTAAAATTATTGAGAAAAATTCCGCCAATAATTTTAAAAACGATTTTTGTAGTTTTTTCCCCCCTGAAAATAACTAATCCATGAATTAATTTACTTGCGCCAAAAATATTTTCTTTTCCTTTAGAGTTTAACCACTTGCGCTAAGACAAACTTCACGGTTGCGGTGCCGTGCGCTACAATATAACAAGCGGTAAAGTGTCTCATTTACGCCGCTCCGCATCTGCGAGTGCAATCCAGAGCTGTAACTCGAGAAATAAACAATCTCGTTGTTAGGCGACGTGTGCACCACGTTATTTTTCATTTTTGCGATAAATGCTTATCGACGTGGTGTTCACACACAATCGCTCACGGGTTTGAGACAAAAGCATCTCGACGTGCGTGGCACGTCTTTTTAGCGCAAGTCGTTAAAGAAATTTTAAACGATATTCATTTTATGAACTCTTGATAACGTGACCTTCGAACTTCGACACCGGTTTCGAGCTTTGGCACAGATATATCAGACATGCACAGCTGTTTCCCTCTATGATGGAACGGAGCCACGTCTGTTGCAGAGAGGTTTTCCTTCTTTACAATACATATTCTTTGATTCTAATTCTAACCTCCATGGTACCGTATACCAGGATTAAACCCATTTTGTTTTATACGAGAACAGGTACTTCTTTAGTTCATCATGCACTGCACCATGCGATTCTCGAAAATACTGGAAATCAAAAGTTTGAGGGAAAGTTGCTTTGCCTTTCTAAAGACATCAAATTGGAGCTGCGAAAATTGGCTCTATGCCAGCTACCCGAATGACGCTCACGTGATACATAATTCGCCAAAAAGTTCTCTTCCTCTTTCCGACGTCGGCGCAAAAATCGCTTTTTTTGGCGGGATCGTTGTATGAACTTCCCTGACTTTTCCAGATTTTTTGACAAAATACTTAAATTCCCTGACTTTTTTTCCCTGAATATTTTGGTCAATTTTCGAATTCCCTGACTTTTTCCCGGTTTTCCCAGGTAGCGTGGCAACCCTGTTGTTTTAGATTGAATGAAATTAAGCTTAATTTTGCTATTAATTAGCTTTTTATTAATTTAATTATATGTTTCTAATTAATTATAAGTTGAGATATATCCAAGTATATTACACAAACTTTTGCATTCCAATTTTTGGTTAAACAAAATAAGCTCTTACTTATTGAGGGGCCTGATTGATTATATTAATTTGCAGTACTGTTTATTTAATTCTTTTCTTCTAGATACATTTTAGAAAAAAACTTAGCATAATAATTTATTTACAATTCATACGTCAGTGTTCAAACGAATAGTAATGTTGTTATAATAGATTTCATGATAAGCTGTTTTTTAATTTAACTATTAATTTCTGCAAATATTTACATGATTACTTTAATTAACAAAACCTATTTCTAGCACACTTTGATAAAGAATAATCTTTTGCATGCCAGTGAACTAATAAAATTTTCCAGTCTAGTTCACAGACATCTTGACTATTATTGATGTAATATATAAAAAATATAATTGGTATGCTTTACAATTATTTGATTTATAAAATTATTGTAATACTCTTTCCTCTAATATTGTAGTACTTAATGAAAGATGTTTGTAATGCTAATATGTATGTTTACCAATACCTTTTATTTTCTTCGTTAGCTCTCTCATTTATTACTGTTATTTAAGTAATTAGCCTGCTTGTTAGCTATTCTTTATTTATTCTTGTGATTGTGATATGTAATTTTATTTCATTATTTTTATTTTCCTCTTGGCTACAATTGGCTTCAAAAAGTAAAATTGTAATCCTGGTGCCAAGGGGGGGGAATTTTGATTCGTGCAGTTGGACTATACCAGGACGAGGAGGGATTTTCATTCACACAGTTGGAGTACACCCTAAAACCTGAGCTAATAATGATGATATATTCAAGATTAAACAAATAATTCAAATCACTATTTTATTACAATAAAATACTTAATATTGTTTTAATGATTACCCTCCATATTTCTTTTACGAAAAAAGAATTAACATGATTTAATAACTATAAATTCTACATTAATTTATACAAAAAGGATATCTTGCTGGTGATTCTCGTACTGCATCAATGAATGTGGAGGTCCTAGACACTAAAAAGTAAGAATGAAAATATTTCATTACAACAGATTAATTTCTTATAAACTTTTAGATATTTAAAATCAAACACTTTTTTGGTTAATTTTTAATGTCAACACATTTTATACAGATACTCAGAAAAGTTGAAAATTTGTTACACAATTCCATTTCATATATACTGACATTGAATATCCCAGTGAGCTATGTTATTTTTTCCTTAGTATATCTGACGCATTAGAATGCAATTTTACTATTAATTGAACTCCACTAGCTATACCATTTTACAGTACTAAAGTCTACAATTTTGCACCTGACTTTTTGTTTTATTATTGAAGTGAAATACACACTTCATTTCTGGAAAAGGAATCAGCTCTTAAACATATGACACATTGAGTATGAGCAAAATTTTTTGTTGTCATATATAGCTTATAGAACTGCTGATCTTAGAAACTTTTTGCTTGTGTTTATTAGCTGGTGGCAGAACAGATAGCACATCCAGCATTCTGTCTAGCAAAAGGAACTAGTACAAGTGTTTCATTAAATCAGGGAGAAAAAGTGATATTCTAAAAGGAGCAAGTCCTTCTTCATTTTTGCAAGAGTATGATCAAGAGTAAATTGCAGCAGCAGAAGTATTATAAAGAATATGTATGAAGTATTATGAAGGATATATAGAAATAACGCTCTATGAGAACACATATGGCAATATTAGTTTCCAAGTTTCCATTAACAGCAAGAGTGAGAGAGTTTGAAGACACGACCTTAAAAAATTAAAAGATGAGGATCTGACAGAAACCAATGAAAGTAACAAGATTATTATGGAAGAACTGGTAAAAACATGCTGCTTAATATTCCTAGGATGATATAGGAGAGGCAGACTTTTACCTTGGGATTTGTAGTAAATTTGAATAATTCGATGATACATACCAAAGCAGACAAACTGAATTGTTAACAGTCTACTCACTAAACTCAGTAGACTAAATTGTTGTGTTTCAACCTTGCCTAACAGAATACAACTGTAGTTTCTTAAGTCTAATGGCTACTGGTGATAGAAAACTAGGTTCTTTATATGAACGAGAAATAATATAAGTCTGTTCATAGGTCGGGAAAATCTCCAGAATTCACAGCAAAAGGTTCTGGCAAGTAACTGCAGAGAATCCAGAGCAGTAGGATATTAAAGTGCTGCAATAATTGAACAAAACACTAAACTGAAAGGTTTACTACTGGTACAGAAATCTCCAAACTGCTTTGCAAAAAAGTATTCAATCAAAATGACATGAAAGCCAATACATCAGTCCACATTAAAAGAAAGCTAAAGCTATGGGAGAGAGCTTATATCACACTCCTGTATTCAGTAAATATTACTAACAGATTATCATTTTTTTTTTTTTTTTTTTACCATCACAGATCTTTCTTCATGGACAGGAAATAGGAAAATATAGAGGTTTTTGTGGATTCCCAGTCTTCTACAAAAAGGCAAATGATTTATGCAGATGAAAGATGGAAAAGTTATAAAATAATAATATACAATTATCAATAAATTGTTATTCAATTTATAAATAACAATTTATTGATTATAGACAGTAAATAGCGGCAGTTTATAGATATTCCATGGAGAATATATCGCAGATTGAGAGCTTAAAAGTATGTTCTACAACAGTGGATTCTCAGCCTTTATTTTTCATGCGTTTCCTAATGATAATTTGTAATTGTAATGTAACCCTAATCTTCCCATTTAGAACCTATGACACACCTTCAACTTCAACTTCAACAAAGACTTTTTGGAACTTAAGTACTGTTGCAGTGTATATTACCATATTATTTTAACACAATAAAGTGAATAATGAATACAGTCAAAAATAAAATAAAATAAAAATTGATCTTTTCAGAGAATGATAATTTTTTAGACTACTTCATTAAAAGGCTCTAATATCCAGTTGTCTTTCTCATTTTGTTTGGGCAAGTAATATTTGAACAACCCTTTGGACATAACAACACAGCAACTTTTAAATTGTTATTACATTTTCTATGACTTCATTTGCACATTAAAGCTCACTTTTCTGACAAGAATTTGTAAAGTGTCTTAAATATTTCTGTTTGATTTTTCTCAATATATGATTTCAAAAAATCTCTTTCTGTAGAATAAACTTGTCCAATGCTTTAGTAATACTCATGAAACTGTTTTGTTATAATAAACTGAGTTTATTTATCTTTGGAAACTATTGAATAATTGCACAAGTCCTTGAAGGCATTCATCACTGTAAAATTTCAAGATGAGTTGAAAGGGGTGGCCTCCCAAAGCGTGTTGGGTGCAGATGCGAAATCAGAGCTATTATCCATAAGCTGTTTTTATTCTGTGCTAAGATTTTCTATTTCATCATTTATTAATTTTTGTATTTTGCTTACACACTGGTCCACATACACACATACACACTGGTTTGAATGTACAATTTAAAGAAAGACAGCTATGTAATTAAATTGATGATTCACTTGATACTGAAAGTACAGTTAGCTTAAATCATTGCACATGATACGCTGTAACATAGAAGGGAGTGAGTGGTTATACACAATGCCTAGGAAGTCGAAAGTAAACACACGGCAAAGGAAAAGGTTCCTGGGCCCGAACGCTATCCCTATATACTGAAATTTTTGTTGCATAACATTGAAAAGCATTTTTTATGTGCCAAAATAAGTTCTTAAGTACAATAAGCAATTTGAATGTAGAATGAAAGCAATTAATTTAGAGGAACAATAACATAGTGCATGTAATATTTGATACGTAAGCATTCAGGTAATATGACAGGTATATGCGAGGCTAATTACATCTTTTTACACTGCTTGGATACACTTCGGTTGACAGCAGTTGAAAACAAAGAAAATTGCTTTTCCTTTTATCCAATGTCAAATTTTAATTTTTATCAACATTCATTACAACATTTTGTTATTTTCTGCTGTTACTCGTAATTTTTTCGCAACCCCTGACTAGACCCTCATGTATCCTAGGATTATGTACATCTACCACTGGTTCTGAGAACAATATAAAGCAATTCTTTTGCTGAAAACAACACATTTTTGACCCAACAGCATCAAAGAAATCAAAACAAATGATAACACTAAACATGGATTATGATTTCACTGATAGCATAAATAGAAGACCAGGATGCTCTTTCTACTACATTGATAATTTTGTAAGTAATCTGGTAGCTATTTTTGAATTAATGCAACTTTGGAATTCATTTTTCTTTTTATTTACATTCTAGTTTCTAATTATCCTCCTCCACCATTACTGTTTTGGCTTTAACGTTATTACAAGAGGTAAAAGACTTTTTGGAACCAAATGGTAAAACATATGTTGAAGTTAGTGATGACGTTTAGTTGAAGGATTTAGCTTTTGTTGCTGATATAACAAGTCATCTAAATGAATTGAACTTACAATTACAAGGAAAAAAAACAACAGAACTGATTGGATTTATTAATACTTTCAAAAACAAGTTAAAGCTAACATCTTCCCAGTTGATGAAGAATGAACAAAGCTATTTCCGATGAGTTGTTTAAAAACAGAATTACATTAAACAAAGAGTAATATTATGATGAAATAATAACTTCACTCCAAATTTGAGAGACATTTTCAAGAATTTACTAGACTAGAACCAATTGCTACATTCATGTGTTACCCATTTGGCAATGCTGACGTGGAAGAAATAACTGAAACTATAAATTATATGTTCTCTTTATCTCTTTAGAAAATGAAGTTTTTCTCCTTCAAAATAACATAATTTTAAAAGAACAGAGTTCAGAACCTAAGATTAACTTTTGGACTCTAATGGATGAAGTAAAGTATTTTAATTTAAGGGGAAAAATGCATTTTATTTAACATTGTTGTTTGACTCTACCTACCTGTGTGTGAATCAGCATTTTCAATGATTAATATAATTAACACAACATATCGTTCCCATCTCACAGATGACAAGATTAGCAGTTAGTAATTATATACAGAGATATTCAAGATTGGTATACAGTATGCAGACTAAGTCTTCTACTAACTACGAGAACTTTTGCAAATAGCATTATTTCCCAATTTTGTCATGAAATAAAAGAACGATGGGTGACAGTGAATGGATCATAAGAAAATATAATTCTGATACCAGATCAGATAGCGAATCTGAATTTTCTATAAATGATTCTGGTAATTCTGAAAGTTCTTTTTTGGAATTCTTTAGTGATGATGAGGAAATGGAAAGTTCAGATGATTTAATTTAGGTTCAGAACTTTCAAGAAAAGAAAAGATACTAATAATCCTCCTCCACTACTGCCATGATTTTCTTTCACAGTGAATTCTTTTACATTTATCTCTTGTAAAGTGCTCTTTTCTAGTTCCACAGTTTTGTGAGAAAAAAAGCCAGCATTAAGTAAAAATGCTTTAACTTCACAGTAATTAAAAATTATCTTAAATTCATAAATGGAATACTTGCAACAGTATTGTCTGCTGATTTGAATTCATATAATTGATTAGAATACAAAATTGTTTATAAAAAATATGCTCATTTTTGGTCACAGTATGGCAGGAAAATGAAGCAGTTAAGTGGTTAATATTAAGTTGCGATAAATATTGTAGGCCCTTTTTTTTTAGCTCACCACACCTATGCCACTAGGTAGACGGCAACAACTTTAAAAAAAATTAGAACAGCCCATACCCCGGAAAAGTCTGCCCAACCCAGTTATATATTAGATATATCATATAATATATTCTTAAAATGAAATTCATCTAGGTAAAACAAAATGTTAAGAACATAAAATGAAATCAACATATTATGCTGCATTAAGTTACAGTTAAGTTTATGCTCTGTATTTGTAAGATGAATCACCAGTCTGTTGAAAGTTATATCAGCTGCATTTCATGATACAAAACAGTACACGTGCTATATACACATTCGGAATATTAAACATCAAAATACATCTGCAGTTTTTTACAAAAATTCATTTTTTCTGCAAATTTTACAGTAATTAATGGTACCAGAGACTAATACCTGCTTATGTTTCACATATTCATGATACAGCTAACTATTTCAACATTCTACATGATGCTGTTTGCATGTTTTTCACTTACAAATCTCTAAACATTTTAATGCACCCTTAAACCCTCTACAAAAATCTACAAATAAGTGTAATTACATCACAATTACATTCAACAAAAAGTCAAGAATACTGTGACACAAATAATCCAATGAATTTATGAAATCAGATTTATTCTTCTCATTTGACCCTTTAATGATATAAAATAATACTTACATAAAACAAGATGAGTTATGACACAGGCAAATATGAAGACACAGAGAAGAGCTAAAGAAAGTATAAATAAATAAAAGTAGCGGTAGTTTCTCTTTCCTACACAATTTCCTACCCAAGGGCAGTGATGATCAAAACGTTCTGGAAAGAGAAAATACTTAAACTAATATGCAGAAGTTTAGAACAGAATTAATATTTTATATATTTCAAAATTAACTTCTTAAAAATACCATATCACATAGAAGGGAAAATTTAGGGGGAGATAAAGACTTTATTTAGTAACTCATTACAGTACAAAGTCTTTAACCCGCACTCGTCGGGACTTCGGCAATTCCGGATTAGGGATTTTTCCGGATTATAGATCATCAGTTTAAATCTGGTAAGATGGCATGCAAAAATTATAAAATTAAAAATATGAAACCTTAATTTATGAAATAAACAGTAATTATGATCTAAAGGGTATTAAAATTTACAAAAAAAAAAAAAAAAAAAAAAAGCTTAATATTTATTTGTTTACTTTATTAAACATTTCTTTCAATATAAGTTGTTTAAGTTGCTTCATTTTTTGTGCTAATACTTTTTCCTTAATTCTTTAAACAGACATAATTTCTTGTTCAGTTACAAAGTTCCGCTGTTCAAGTCCTGTAATTGCAGTGCCGAGAATACCGACTAACTTGTCAATCGAAATTTTTTTGTTTTCACTAACCTCTACGTCACTTTCTTCATGCCTTTATCCATTTTTTGCAGCAATTCCACTTTTTGTTTGATGGACATTGAAACATGCTTTCACTTTCTAGATCCTTTGGCAGCTCCAGAATCAGAAACTCTTTTTGACATAATAAAAAGTTCAAGCTTACTTTTTATAAAATTGCTCTAACAGTCTGCAAAAAATAAAAGCCGGATCCAATCAGAAATTAAGGAACAACGCAATCTGCAACATTAACGGAAATAGATAATTTTAGCCTAGCCTATACCGTCCATTATACATTAAACGCTCATGCGTAAACATATTATGCACATGCGTAAATGCTATGCATGCGCAGAAAGTTTGTAGCTTTGAGGTCCGGATTATAGATCATTCCGGATTAAAGGCTTTGTACTGTATATATTTACCTAGTGCAATCATGTAGTAAATATGAAAACAGTAACCATGCTCAGTGTCTCACATCCAAAAACATTTCTCTCAATTTAAACATAATAAATAAAAAAGTTATGCTATAAAGAAAATAAAGAAATAATTTTATTTTATAATTATAAATACAAATGCTACTTGCATCTAATTTATATAATTTTCACCAATAGCATGTTAATGCTCCCCATAAATATTTTTTCTTCCGCCCCTTTCTTTTTTTGAATACCAATTTCTCATCCATTATTATAAATTTTCGAAAGTTACAAGTCTTTTGACAAATTTATCAAAAAATACCATATAGGTATCAATTTGTTTATACCTCTCTTACTTTCATTACCATGAATATTGTGAAAGCAAATACATCTCATCAAAAACAGCAATTTTGTGCGAGATATCCTTTTCAAAAACATTTTGATTCCTGTTCCATCTGGCGGCATACAGATCCTCTAGACTGACATGCAATGATTTACAAGTTCTGCATATGTATAAAAACCTGAGCAATTCATTTCTAAATTATCAGTCATTTTTGTGCCTCTTTCATGGTTGACACTATCTTGAAATAATTCACTATAAATATTATAAATATTAGTGGAGTCTATCATTTGTGCGAGAATGACATATACAAGGAAATCATTTTCAAAAAAACTTTTTTTAGAAATAATCCAGTTTTCGCCTACTTTAACTCTCTAACTAACATGGGTTTTTGGATCTGTCATGAAGAGCTGTATTCAAAGACACTTTCTTAGTTAAATTTGATTATTTACTTACTTTACGCTCTATTTTCATAAACTTACATTTATTAAGATAATATTTATATTATTAAAGAGAGTAAGAAAGCAAAATATCATAAATTGTATGCTAATATATAACAAATGACAAAAAATCTCATGACCGGATAAAGCCGGCCAAACGCTCAGAGGGTTAAACAACATGACCTGCAATTACACTTTTAGAAATTTTAGCCTGGTATGAACAAAGGTACATAACGAAAGCAAACAGCTTCGATATCTCATACCCAGGGTGAATGCTCATCATTTAACTTCTGAACACATGATGATTCTATAGCTAAATATATTTTATAGAAGGTTATGAGATACAATATAATATATATAATATATATAATAATTTCATTGGCATTTCAAGAGATATTTGAAACCAATAATTTTTTGTTATGAGTGTGAAACTATTGTGTAGATGATAACTGGAAGAAAAATCACAACTGGCTTGACGGTTAAAACATCATTTTAAATTTTGAACAGGAACAATCCTTTAGAAATACATTTTTGCTTAACTGGTACAACACTAGGGACACTAAATGCACCGCACAATTTCTATACATGCAGCTTACATTTTAGATAATAGAAAAAGAAGCTTAGCAAAGATACATGGAAAAAGAAGCAGCAAAAATATAACATAGTAAGTAGCTAGCACTATTTGTAATCTCAAAACACTTTCTTTTAATCCTGAGTAGTAAATGGGCAAAAGCCTACTGCAATGCAGATGCTTTGAAGAGGGTTGTGCTTTAACTGAAAATCAGAAATTTAAAGCTGTGTTGTCAATTAATTCCGAGTTTAATTTGTTAATAAATTTCCATTATATTCTTATATTTTACATACACATATATAAAGTGTCTCAAAACTACATGTGCCGATCTTGACGGAAGGTAGAATACAACAATATGAACCACATGCGTATAGGAAAGCAAGGCTGAAAGCAGGTGGTGTTGTATACCAGTGCTCCAGGAATCCTTATTTCTGGAATTTTCTCATTAAAGCTTACAATATCATGTGCAGAACATGCATGATTTTACAAACCCTGAATTGAAGGCAGGAATTTTGTGTCTTAAGGTTAGCTTATGATAATGGGCAAACCTGCTGATATCCATTAAACTCTTAGTATCTTCGAAAATGCTTAACAAACCATGCATCACTATGAAAAGTCAGAGCCTCTTGTTAAAGTGTATTTTATGTCTGCTAGTTGTTTCATCTAATAAAGTAGTTTACAATACTTTCTGAATTGTGTTTTCCTATGTCGGTATCCCTTCCATCTACTGCAGAGAAAAAAATGCAAGTTCTTTCTACGGTACATAGTGATAACATCTATAAACGCAACGTATTAATTTTATTTTAAAATGTATTTTCCCGATTGGCAACAACATTTTTTTTTTTTTTTTCAGAACGATAATATTTTTGAACTGTAAGTTTTTGAGCAGTAATGTTGACGGTAATGTTTCTGAATAAAGCAAGTATTTAACAATTTATGTTTGACGGAATGTGTTTTTAATAAAGGAACTAATTAAATGCTAACATTTCAGAAGTGGGATAAACTAGAATTATTATCTAGATTTAACAACGTATTGCCTTAACGTACACTAAGCCTAAACTGAATGCGGAAGCTCGCCAAAACTGAAAGTAGAAAGGTACGTGAATTTATAAACTGTTTATGTTATGTCTAAGTATTAAACGGAAAGAACTTAAGTATAATTATTGTATTAGTATTTGAAAATTGAAGTCTAAGATGGCTTATTTGGCAAGAGGCAAAAAAATGTGATTTAAAAGAACTTGCTTTGGAACTTGATGTAGATGTCCCTTCTGATATTAAAATTGTAGGCTTAAGAGATATGATTTTGAATAGTAAGAATTATAACGAAGACTTTACTAAACAAATGCTAGATAGAATTATAAATGATCGTTTAGACAGGGAAAAGTTAGAAAATTTTAGAAAAAGATAAGCAAAGAGCATTTGAAATGGAAATTATAGAAAGAGATAAGCAAAGAACTTTTGAACTTGAAAAATTGAAAATAGAAGCGGAAATCAGAAGTAGTAATGTAAATGATTCTGTTTCCTTCTAATGTTAGTAGAAGTAATATTTGTGATATGAGTAAATTAATGCATAAGTATGATTTGAATGAAGGTGATATAAGTTTTTATTTAGTTTTATTTGAGAGACAGGCACGACGTATTGGGTTAGAAGAACAAAACTGGGTTTCTCAGCTGTTGGGTCTATTGCCTTATGAAATAACTCAATTAATTGCCCGTGAATCAGAAGAGAAAGCTAACGACTATAAGCACGTTAAACAACTGCTACTGAGAAAATTTAAGTTAAGCCCTGAACAGTTTCGGCAAAAGTTCGTTGATCATATTAAAACGTTGCGTAATACGTGGAAGGACTTCACGTTTGAATTAAAAAATTATTTTGAAGAGTGGCTTGCTGGATTAAATGTAACAGATTTTGACTCTTTAAAACAACTTATTATTACTGATCAATTAAAGAAGAGGGTCCCCGCTGCTATCCGAGACCATTTCATTGATGATTGGTCTAAATTCATTAATCCTGAAGAGTTGGCTGAAAAACTAGATGAATATGAAAATATTCGGGCAGGGATAAAAGTACTTCAAGTAGAAAATAAAACTTTTAGGCATAATTTTAAGCCCAAATCTGGTTCTAAATTTTATGAAGGATCCTATAATCAGTATTCAAGACAAAGAAATGTTAACGATTCCATGCATTTTAAAAACAGTTTTGATAATAAATACAATCTGAGAGATAAATTTTATAAAACAGACGAAAGGAAAAGGGAATATAATTCTGGCATCCGCAATGAAAAGGGTGAGCCGAAATGCTTCAATTGTAATGATTATGGACATATAGCGACGGATTGTCCTCAGCCTAAAAAAGAAATTATTTGCAGGAAATGTAATGAAAAGGGTCATACTTTTAAAAAGTGTACGTCTAAGAATCCAGACTTGACAAATGTTAAAAATAATTTATCCGTGGACCAGAATTCAGGTGTTTCACCAGCTGTATATTTAAAGTATGCTCGCATCAATAATGGAGAAGAAATTACTGCAATCATAGATACGGGTTCTAGTTCGTGTTTATTGAAACAGTCTGCGGCTAAGAGACTGAATCTTATTATAAAACCTGATGTGGAGGAATTGTTTGGCTTTGGGAACCAGAATAAACCAGCCGCTAGAACATTGGGAAAAGTAACTGTTAACTTAGAGA